CCCCACACACACACACAACCACAGAACATCCCCGCCGCTATAGGGAACCTGAACAAGTTACGAGACCTCCGACTACAGGACATGTACGTCACCAGGTGGGGCACCAGCGTGTTGCGTCACGTGGGCGCGACCTTGACCTCCCTCACCCTGGCCCACACCATCGTGCCTGCCTGGGCGGAGTGGCTGGAGTTGTTCCCCTTGCTCACCCAGCTCACCACCGACAGCTCACCCTTGGGCTTGGTCCCCGACGACGTCTTCCACAAGAACACAGCCACGCTCAGGAAGGTCACGCTGAAAGCCGCGGGTTTGAACTCCGTCCCCCCGGCACTGGCGGCTCTGGGGGGCCTGGAAGAGCTGGACCTGTCGGAGAACCAGCTGAGGAGCAGCAGAGACCTGGCCTACGAGCTCATCCCTCACCTGCACACCCTGAGCTCGCTCAGCCTGAGCGGGAACCTGCTGCAAGACATCCCGAGGATCTCCTTCCTGACCAACCTCTCGCGCCTAAACCTGTCCCGCAACGGCATCTATGACGTCACGGCCGGTCTGACCGGCGCCCACAACAGTAACAGTAACCCGGCGATGACATCAGCACACGACAGTAACAGTAACCCGGCGATGACATCAGCACACAACAGTAACAGTAACCCGGCGATGACATCAGCACACGACAGTAACAGTAACCCGGCGATGACGTCATCACACGACAGTAACAGTAACCCGGCGGTGACGTCATCACACGACAGTAACAGTAACCCGGCGGTGACGTCAGCACACGTGGCCAACATCGCGCTGCCGCAGGGGTCACTGTCCGTCCTTGACCTCAGTCACAACAATTTCCGGGAAACCCCGAAGGTTATTCTAGGCCTGGTTCGTCTCCGCGTGTTGAACCTTGCCCACAACCTCCTCACGGAGGTCAGAGGTGAGCAGTTCCCCATCGGCAGCGGTCTGGAGCAGCTGTACCTCCAGGGAAACCCTCTCACCTCCCTAGCCACCGACGCTTTCCACAGACTTCAACACCTCCAACTTCTCGACCTGTCCGCTACAAAACTGACACGCCTTCCCCTGGCCCTGGCTCAGTTGTCTGCTGTGGAGATCGTGGACGTGCGAGGTGTGAGTCCGTTGGTGTGCACGTGTGTTGAGCGGGCTCTCCGTCCCTGGGCCCTGTCTCTGCCACACCTGGTCTTGTTGGGTCACTGCGGGGAGATACCGCTCACTTATTTCTTCCGTGTCTTGGCTGCTCAGTGTCCTCCTTCCTAAATACCCCCACCCTCCTTCCTAAATACCCCCACCTTCCTTCCTTCCTAAATACTCCCACCCACCCTCGTTCCTTCCTAAACACCCCCCACCTTCCTAAATACTCCCACCCTCCTTCCTTCCTTCCTAAATACTCCCACCCTCCTTCCTTCCTTCCTAAATACAGTGGAATCCACTTATAAGTTATAACGAGTCCTGAAACAACGAGAAGTCCCTTCTTTATCTTTGTAAATAAAATACTGCTATAGAAGCGCAATCACATAAACGCGCGAGTCGGTTAAAGCGGAATATTGCTGCTCCTGTGCACAGCGAATAGACCATTGAAACATGAAAACCTCGCCTGTTGAGAAACTTGTTGGTGATCTAGCGAAACAAAGAAAGGGAGTGCCCATGTGTGCCAACGATGAAGGCCGGAGCGAATGAGTGGGGAGTGTGTGGCACGCGCAGACACACCGTTGTGAAGCAGAACGCATTGCCTGATAACTAGGCTTTCTCAGTCCTGATAATGATAGGCCAGCCTAGTCTAGATTATCTCGGCCTAGATATATTCATATCTGTCACTTTTCCGATGCGGGGATGGAGAGGTCACAGTGCTGTGATGGAGAGGTCACAGTGCTGTGATGGAGAGGTCACAGTGCTGTGATGGAGAGGTCACAGTGCTGTGATTGATCGTGGGGCGAATGTGAGACGTGCGCAAGCAGACGCGGGAACGCACCGCAGGGTGTGGTGGGGTGGGGGACAACACAGAGGGCGAGTTAGCCTAGAGAACTTTCGTTCTGATCACCAACACCGAGCTGTCAACATCGCTAACGCCAGAGAAGGAAACCTGATTCAAATTTTTGATCAAGAAAGACCTAGATGTCATGTTGAACCAAGCCACCATCGGAGGAGATGACAAAAATAAATAAACTGAACACCAAACTCATAGATTAGGCCTACTTTATTATTTCCTTTGAATGTATTACTGGATCCCTTACAACGAGAAACCTGCTATAACGGACATTTCGTACCGGTCCCCTCCCTCTCGTTATAACAGGATTCCACTGTACTCACACCCTCCTTCCTTCTTTCTTCCTAAATACCCCCACCCTCCTTCCTTCCTTCCTAAATACCCCCACCTTCCTTCCTTCCTTCCTAAATACTCCCACCCTCCTTCCTTCCTTCCTAAATACCTCCACCTTCCTTCCTTCCTAAATCATCATCAATGCCTTTCACCCCTGGCAGGGTATAGGCCACATACAAGCTCCTTCCATTACCTTCAACCCCCCTGTCCTGAGCCATCCTTCCAAGTGAGCTTCATCTCTCTCATGTCCCTT